AATGATAACTTGTGACAACACATAAGGAAGGGATGAAGCTGTGTGTATTTAGAGTTTTTGCATGTTCCTGTCTTAGTCACATTCTTGCTGATGAGACACACTAGCTGTCATCCACAATTTAAAGAAAGAGAGGTTTGTTTTGGCTTTCAGTTACAGTCCATAGATGGCTGGTTAAAAGGCAGAAATGGCATGGAAGAAGGCCTTGGCCAGAAGAAAGCTGTTTATCCCACAGTGCCCAGGAAGCAGAGCAAGAAGGGAGGAGCCGGGGACAAGAAGACACCTTCCAGTGTCCCCAGTGACCTGCCCCCAATCAGGTCATACCTCCTAGCAGCAAGTCAGCTATAGCACCCCCATGATTCAATCACCTACCAAACGTCCCATCTCTAAACACATAAGAGACATGTGGGGGACACTCTATATCTAAACCATAATAGTTATTGAAATTAAATTGATATCAATTCAAATTATATTATTTTAAATTTTGATTCCTGTGGTAGCCACTAAGGAAAAAAAAAAATATATATATATATATTTAAAATACTCATAAAAATGAGAAGGGAATAAAATGGTATACTGTAGAGGAAATAAAACACACAAGAAGACAACAGTAGAAGAAATGAGGAGTAAAAAGCAGTGTAAGAATGTAAAGAGGAATTTTCTAATAAAGGAGAAATTGACCAGGATACAAAATTTGCAAGTGCAATTTAATCAGTCAATAAAGAGGCTACTCATAGAGAAGATGAACACCTGCAGTACTGATATGATCATAAATGGACATGATGGGAAAAATGAGTGATAAAAAAGGGTAATCCAGATAGTTATAGAGATGATAAAAAGTACAAGATAACGTGTGCCAATACATTTGAAAACTTGATAAAAATAATTGTTTTCCCATTCAGCTACTAAGTCAGGCAGCTTGAAGCATGATCCTATAGGAAGACACTGTCTTACACTCCAAAGGTAGTCAAGGGAAATGGCAACTGTAACAACACATCTTCAATACAAGCAAGAAGGTATTCAGATGGATACTGAATGGTCATCAGATCTGCAGGACTAGTTGAACCATCTGTTGCAATAAAATGCCATTTAAGTGTAAAATATCACTTCTGGGCCTGATGCTGAGGAAGGAATATCCTATACAACTATTGTGCCTGGGTTTGATTTTCCATTTTAACCTCAAAATTAGGTTTAAAAATTGTGTTAATGTACTGTTTCTCCTGAGAAGAAGGTAAGGGGTTGAATTTTGGAAGCATTTTTTAAAGGGAACTCACCTATGTTGTTATTGAAACTTTAAGTTGCTATTTTTAGTCTGACACTGGCAAATTTAAACATTTTAAGATAATTTTAAAAAATCAAAATCATGCAGAATAGAATGAAGCTAGAATTAATAGCACAAGGATAACTATAAAATTCATAAATGTACACAAAATTAGGTCACATTCTTAGCAAACCAAGGGTCAAAGAAGAAACATCAAAAGAAATTGAGATTCAGTTAAGAGATAAATAAAGACAAAATTGCAACACACCGAGATGGAATGCAGTGAAAGCAGCACTCAGAGGGAGGTTAATAATAGTAAACATTTACATTGATAAAAAGATCTGAACTCAGTAATCTAACTTCAACCCTCAAGAATTAAAAACAAGGGCAAACTAAATCTAAAGCTAGCAGTAGGGAAGAACTAATAAAAACTGAAATAAAAGAATAGAAAAATAAAAGAATCAATAAAAACAAAAGCTTTGAAATAATTATAACAAATTTACCATAAAAATGCAGTTATTAACAAGGAGGGACACTGTAAGTAATGGGGTAAGCAGAATAACATAGGAACTCTTTGTAGTGTTTGCTTCATTTTTATCTAAATCTACAACTCTTTAAAAATAAATGCTACTAACTGAAAGATAAATGAAGAAACTTTACTGTCCTTAATAACTTTTGATCAAAGAGAAAACTAAAATTACAATTAAAATGCGTGAAACAGGTTGAGGGTACAATTCAGTGAGAGCACACATAGTCTCTGTCAATCCCCGAGTTCAACACTCAGCACCAAAGCCAAAACAAAACAGAACAAAACTGCCTCATCCTTCCAGCCCAAACTGTGAATAATAATAATAATAATGTGAAAGTGACAAAAGTTATAAGAAATGACACTAAAATTTTCTTAGCTTTAAGTATTTCCATTGTAAAATAAGAAAGAATTAAAAATAAACTAAGGATTTGATCAGCAACTGAGCAAAGTGAAGTAGTCTAAAATGATAATAAATTTTCATAAAGTTAAAAGCAAAACTATTTTAAAAAAGAGAAAAAAGTTAATAATACAAGTGATGCATATAAGTCATCAACTCTGACACATTTGGTCAGGAGAGAGAAAGGAAGAGGGAGAGAAGATGAAGGAGGCAGAGAAGAGGCAGGGGAGAGGGAGAAAGGAATGGGCAAGATGGGTAATAAAAAAGATTCTTCATATACTTATGGAAATGATCTATGTATAAGCCAGTCCTGTGTATGCCAATATATTGGATGAACTTGATGGAAAGAATGATCTTCAAGCAAAAAATAATTCAATTGTATGAAAAAATATCATAAAACTTGAACAGATTGATAAGCCTTTTAAAGAATTACTTCCAGAACTGGGTACCAAGGTCAAGAGGAGTTACAAATTTGCTTCTTGGAGATTTCAAGGGAAGATAACATTATTAAATTTTATTTTAGAACATGGAAGATTTGGGCATTTTTATAATATCACTACCTGAAGCTAGTCTACCTTTAATAAGTAAGCCCATCAACAATAAATTTCCAGAAAAGAAAAATATTAATTTCACTTGTGACTACAAATTCAAAAGCTTTTATAGATTAAAACATTTGTTTTCCAGCATGCTTTTTTTTTTCTCTTTTTTTGGTGTTAGGGATTGAATCCAGGGCCTCACACATGCCAGATCAGCACTTGGCTTCTAAGTTACAGGCCAGTCCTTGGTGCACACTTTCTTAATACAAATTATATATATGATGAATCAGCTTTGACTCATATTTACATATAAAATCACATTATAATTATAAACCATGTTAATGGGTGATTTTTGATAACACAATTTTAAAAAATGTTACTGTGTTCTGTCACAGTAGAACACTATTTTTTCTAAAACAGAGAAACCACACAGTTGTCTATAATGATATCCAAAGATAGTGAATATAGTTTAAAATGAAGGCTTTTTTCCCCTCTTAAATAGACTTTTAGTAAACTAGAATATTTGGTAGTTTTTTTTATGGTAAGTGTACCTGAAACTAACAGTTGACGTCATTTTTAAAAATGTTAACCACTAGGGAAATTCTCACTGAGGTTAGGAGCTAGACGAGATTCACAGCTCTTTTCCATTATTATTAAGTAATTCTGGTCAGTGTATTGAGGCGAAGAAGGGAGGATACACATTTATATATTTTCCATCTGGGAAATTCATCACAAGTGAATTACTCAAAATAATTTAGAAAAATAAGAGACCAATGAAATAGCTTGATGAAAAATCGAACTATGAAATGGAGAGGCTAGCAGTAATTGGTTAGAAAATAGAGTAGAAAGAGTAGCATATCAAGATAACACCCTACTCTACAGACAAGAAGACAAAATAAAGTATATTAGAACACATTTTACAATAAATAAAGAAACTATGTTTATTATAGCCCTAATGCATGCAAAGACATGGAATGTTCACAGACAGAAAGGTTCTATATTATAAAAGATCATCATTTCACTCAAGTTAGTGAATAAGCTTCATGAAATTTCAACGGAAATTTATTTCAGGGGAATTAAACTGATTTATTTTAAATCGTCCAGTTAATCATCTTTTTCATGATCAGAAATGTTTAAGACTAATAGCTGGACATTGCTCTAGGGCTCCAGTTGGTGGTGGGCAGAAATCTCAGGAAGACTGGACCAAAACTAACATTCTATTTTCCATTAGAGGCAAACTAAGGTGTCCAACTTGACACGTGGAAGTGTCTGCTGAAGGGAGTAATGACACGAGGGTGGGCGAGAGAGAAAGGAGAGAGCTTCTAGGAATGATGTGGTTATTCTGTGGCATTGGTGAAGTCAACATCTTTTTCTCTATAATATTGCAGCTCAAGTAAGACAACTCCAAATACTGTTTTTAGTATTGTAAGAAGGTAAGACAGTAATAGTAGAAAACTCTAGAACGAGAAGCAACATAAACGTATCTTTAAAGCTTTCCAGGCTCTGGAATCCAAGAGTTGGAAGATCCTGTGATCATTTTCCTTCAGCAGGCTCTCAATAAATGATATCTATTAATATAACAATCCTGATAATGGGTTTTGTTTCATCTTTCTGAACGATTAATGTTCCTAGGATTATTTGTAAGAAAATACTAAAAAAATTAACATTAATTTTTGATTGTGAAAATAAAAGGGTCAGTAATAATAGAAAAAGACTAGATTATTATAATTCTATAAATTTAAATATTATAAAATGTGAATATCAGAGTTGTGTATAAAGTTAATACTTTAATGAAGTGAAATATTCATTGTTATATGTTTTTTATGAGGTAGAAAAGTACTAAACTTGAGTTAATGTTTGAATAGGAATATTGAATCAGTCAGAATTGGTTTTTAAAAATAAAACCAAAAAACATGGACATATACAGTATTAATTTACTTTTCAACATGGTAAGATGTATACAATTTAACATAAGGAAAATAGCAATCCATCTTACATCTTGTTGCAGAACTCACTCATTGGAAAAGGCTTATGGTACAGACATAAACTTTATAAACTCATTCCTATTAGAATTATTAAATTTTATTTTCAGATTTAACAAGAAAATAAAAAGATGGATTTTTGGCTTTTTTTAAGGTCAAATTATGACAGTGAACACAAAGTCATTTTTGGATTCTATCAAAATAGTAAATGCAGGAATGGAACAAATCTGTAATACTTAACACATTCAGACCACCTTGAGAGACTGGGAATCAACAGAAACTAATAAAATTTGATTACCTCTTTTCCAGGTGTCAAGTCTTCCTTCACAGATTGCTTCTCTTTCAGAGATGAAGGCTGTTACATTTTCTGGAAATGTTGTACGGCCTTTGCCAATGCTGCCCAGACAGTCCTGAGCTCTCCCTTGTGTTGAACTGGGAACTTCCACTGAGAAATCCCCTGTCTTGAGACTTCCTTATTTGTAGCTATCATCAGCCAATCGTTGGCAAGATATTGAAATGAAGCAAAAACTACCAGAAAATGTTCTGTAAACCACCCATGACTGTAACCCTGACTTCCTTTTGAAGTAAAAATACTTTAACCTGATTAGTTAAGGCATTTTAACAAAAACCTAGAAATTAAAAACACAAAAATATTTTTAGATGAATCATATTTTCACGTAAGGCAATTTAAAAGTAAATTGGTTTGCTAAATGATTTTTTAGTCACTTTTGCCCTAAGCACTATATTGATAAACAGCAGGCAAAGTCCAAGTTTGGGAACAGTCCTTATTTCATGGCTTACAGAAGTCATTTGGCTGATGTTTAATAAAAATAAAGTTTTTGCTGGATTCTGGTGCCTGATCTCAGGTGCTTAGAAGAGGAGTAATGCAAAGAAGGCTCTTAAGACAGCATTTCTGCTTTGAGAACTAAGGCTCACTGTTCATGAAGATGAGTGTGTGTTCTAGCACATGGAGAAGCTGCTTTACAAATATGTGTATTTCTTTCAGGCTACGTAGGGCAAAACATCAAGTTTTAAATGCAAATAGAATGCAGCATGTGCACCACGGACATTTTTCTTTGTTATAAAATGTTAAAGCTAGAAATGTCTGTGGACACCCTCTGTTCCATTTCCTTTTTTATTACAGATGAGGAAATAGGAGAGGGTAAATGCTCAAGGTCACAAAGAAAGTTAAAAGCAATGCTCAGATTACAATCTGAGCCGCTTGCGTCCAATTTTTTTTTTTGTATTATGATTTTGGTGTATCGAGTTTAACTGGAAAAGGAGTGAAGCAATTGAGTGATCTCCTTGTTCAACTCCTGCATGATCCAGATGAGAAGGACGAGGAGGCCTCATCTAAAGTTCTAGTGATTAAAAGGACTAGAATTTCTAACTCTGATTGTTTAGTGCAATTTTTTTTCTATTTTGAAACATTGCTCTCTTTTAAATTATATCTTAAATAAATATAGGATAGTGTGACTTAGAATTATTCTATAAAAATAATATGCTGAATAAGCTTGTGAATAAAAATGTTTCTTTTACTCATCAGGTTTACAATTATTAAATTGCTTTTAAGCCCATGTGTTTGTAACTGTCTTACTGATGAAATAACAAATGTTAAATGGAAAAATAAAACTTTTTTAATGCTGCAAACATAGAAAAACTAAGCAACATAGCAAAAAAGTGAGATAACTACTGGCAAAAGGAAAATTTACTTAACAGTTTACATTTTTGAATTATCAGGGTTTTCTTTTTAAAAAAGAAGCACCCAGGCCTTAACTGAGAAATTCTGCTTTCTTTGATTTTTCTGTTCCCATCTTCCTCATATTTCCCTTGGCAGTGAAGCTTGGCAGACCCCCAAGCCGGTCAAGGTTTAGCTATTCCTGAGGGTACTGGCCTCAGTCTGGTGTGGCACTGCTTGAGAGAGGCTCCTGAAAACACAGCAGAGAAGTTAAAGTACTTTTTGGGAAATTCTGTCTGAGTACATAGAATTTAAAACAAATGCCACTGACCAGCTTACACTGTAGGTAAAGAATGGGAGGCAAATGGATTTCATTTTAAAAAATCTTTTTGTCTCTCCTGGCTTCTTTTCCTGTTCACTGCCCCCACTCCATATTTTTTTTTTCCTCAAAGTCATAAATTATGGGGCCTGAGCTGATGGAAATACAGAAATCACTAGACAAAAGGAAGGCAAAAACAGTCACCAAGCCAGGATTGTCACAGTTTAGCATAAGTGATCAGTGTGGTGGGGGGAGCAGAGATGTCAACCAAGTGTGCTAACGGGCAGAAGGCAGATTACCATTCAGGCAGACATAAATGGTTAAGGAGTTAGCTAATCAAAGAATGAGGACAGTACTGTCCCGAGACAGCAGGGTTCTTGGTACAGGCCTGGGTGGAAAACCCTCCTAAGAAAAACCTTTATAGCACTGTCTTCTGGGGAAAGTGGGGGCAAGAAAGTCAGGTCTCTTCATTGTTAACTGGGACTCAGGAACATACTTCTTTTCGTAGGAGGGAGATTCAGCTACTTGTGACCAAGAAACTGTATCAGCGGTTTGGTTGCATGGGGTGGTTGTTTGAGCAGCTTAGTTCAGATGATCAATGCAGGTACCTGCAGGTTGTATCCATGCTCCAGGCTGGTGGGTACAGCAAAACTGTCTAGATTCTCCTTGCTAGTGGGGTAATGCTAAAGATTTTGTTGGTCCATGGCCAGCACATGGTTGACCTAAACTGTGAGATCCTATTATAAATTCAGGACTGGGACCTGCAGGGGTGGTGAGAATACTTTTTTTCTACTTCCTCAACCTCTATGAACTGTGCCTTTTGGAGAGTACTGATATTACTGATTTTCAGCTTCACACAAATTTATGCTGAAGTATTTCTTCTTTAAAGGGGATATTTGCATTTTTTGGTCTTAATCTTAGAATTAAATGGAATTTCTTGTTATAGTGACTGGATGGTAGAAGTAAAAAGGAAGGCAGGGTAGGGAAAATGTATTTACTCCTCATGATTTTTCAACTGTAATCTAAGTTTATGATTGGTGTTATATCAGTAGGGACATGTAGTTGGTATGTTTACTCAATTGTTTGTTTAATAAACATTTAAAACCTATTATGTGTTAGGTTCTTTGTTGAGTACAGGGATTACTGAAATGCTCTGCTTGTTTTTCAAAAGCTCATGATCTTAAGGAAGAGACACATGCAAACAACATTTTATTCTGCTCAGTGACTAAATGAAAGTAGAAATACATACAAGGTGGTGTGTGGGCAGAGAGGCAGTTCTCAGGAGCAGAGCTACATGTGATGAGATGCCTTGATACTCAGGAAGTGAACAAACAAAAAGATCAAGGATTAAAAAGTTAACTTATACCCTTTTATGTATTCTCAATGAATTTAATTTCTCTCAAATAAGGTCTTTTGCTTGTTTCCATACTTTTATAAGTAAACATTTTCTTAGAAATTCAATTGTTAATATTATAGAGGGTTTTAAAAATAGTTTTGATGATAGATGTCATTTTAATACTCCTTGTATCTGTTATCATTTTGAGTTTGGGTGTCCTCCCAAATCCTCATGCAGTCATGGAGATGGGCTTCTAGAGTTTGTGAATGACTCATTGTCCAGTGCTGGGATTATGGATATAAGTGCTACACTCAAGGGAGGGTGGAACACCTATAATATAAGGGACTGAAAGACTCTTCTTTGCATGCTCCTTCCCTTTTGCTCTTGATACATGAACTGTTTTCTGCCACCGTGAACTGTTGCCCTCTGCCATGTACCACTGTGCCTTGGAGTCAGCTGATTATGGACTGAAAACTCCAACAACTGTAAGCTAAATAAACCCTTCCTTCCTTCACTTTGAGTGTCATGTATTTTGTCTTAGTAATGAGAGAAAAGTAACTGAGACAGTACCTATACTTGAAAAACGAATTTGTAAGGCATAGATTAAGAAGTACTTTAAGCCTATTATTTTTGAGAAGAGGAATAAAAATAAGATTGTGGATTTCCCAGTACTCTGTCTTAATTATATAACAGTTACATATTTTTGGCTATCAAAAAATGGGACACAATGATATATAATGAAACAAATGTTGATAAAACCAAAATTCAAAAATGTCTTGACAAATTCAAGTAATTGATGCCAACATAAAATTTAATTGGTATAATTATAATGCTGTCTGGTTACTGCTTCTCTTCCTATCGCAATCCTACAAATAAGCAAACAAACAAATGACAATGACAAATGACAATAAACAGGAAAACAAAATCTCATGAGCTAGAAAGGATTGATGACACAACTTAGTAGTAGTCACATAACATTGACTTGAGCTTTACTTAAGGATATGGACATGCTAACAAACTCTCAGACTGACACACCTTTAATTTCCCTCTGCAATGAGGGAAGTGCTAGCCCTACTTTCTGACCTATCTCTCTGGATACCACTCTTTAAGAATAAATAATAACTAGTTATTAAATATTCATCCATGCTATTTGTGCGTGATTCTGGGAATGGAAGATATGTAGCTTAGAGAAAATAAGGAGGAAAGACTGTATTCAAATATCAATTAAAAGTTTCTTTCTAGCTTCAAAACGGACCTCAGACTAGTGAATAGGAATGTTAAAGAAAACACATTTGGGTTCATTATAGAAAGATCAACATTCCAATAGTCAGAAGGTGAGATAGGTCACCTTGGGAGGTAACAGGTTCCCTCTTCCTGGGAGAAAATGTCAACTACTGTATATGATTAATGATTATGAAAGGGGATTTAAATCTCAGATGAAATAATAATGAGTAATGTCTACATGGCATCCATTCTGGTCCTAGATTAATTCTAAATATTTTATATGTATCATGTTACTTAATTTTGATAAATACACAATGAAGAAAGGTAGAAAATCTAAGACACAAAAAGATTAATTAACTTGACACAGAGCATCTGTCTCCAAAGCCTATGCTCTTAACAACTTTACCATAGTGCATATCTACTATCTTGCACTTGAGTGTGGATTCTCTCATTAACTGACAGCATAGAATTTTAGAGGAGAGAGAAAAAACTTCAGATTTTTTTTCTAGTACTTTATTACTTCTTACATTGTATTTTGGGAGCTTACAGCCTGACAAGAAATTAATGAACTGGGACTATATCACCTTTAACCACTATTCATCACCTATCAGTTTGGTCTTGGGATGGATATTTAAGAACCGTATAATTGAAAACAGCAAGAGGATGATGCAGAAAAGGGGGGGGCATGATGTGAAAGGGAGCCTTCACTGAGAATTGGAGGGGCAAATTATACTTGCTGCCTTCTTCTCAAGTGCCAATTTAGGAAAATAGGACAGCCTTGGAGCAGATTCAATACCATTACTCAAGGAAAATGACAGTGTACATTTTATTTCTGAAGGTTTACTCATCCTTCATTTTTTTTCTTTCTAATTTGTTATGTATAGTTT